TACTTTCATGTGGTACTGTTTAATACGCTGTACAAGGTGGTTCTAACTTTTAAGTCTGTGGGTGAAACCCTAGTGTGTGACCATTCAAATGACAGCTACTGAGCAGTACTTTCATGTGGTACTGTTTATAATGCTAATCAAGGTGGTTTTCACTTATAAGTCTGTGGATGAAACCTTAGTTTGCGACCATTCAAATGAAAGCTACTGAGCAGTACTTTTATGTGGTACTGTTTATTATGCTGTACAAGGTGGTTCTTACTTTTAAGTCTGTGCATGAAATACTAGTGTGTGACCATTTAAACGAAAGCTATTGAGGGGTATTTCGTCTCGTGCCATCTGTTTGCAGTATTCGGGAAAACGAAATCTGAGCGGACTTTGTCTCTTCTGATATTCGGCACGTACTCTCAGACTCTTGAGGGATAAGACCGAAGACATTTCTCTGCCGGTTTATGATAACTTCCTACGTTTCTCTTTAAAACAGCAGTAGCACCGGCTCCAAAAGAACACAAAGGAACCAACTGGTACATCACCACAGCGGCCACGGTCCTGATACTGCTATCTGTCGTAGCCCTTTGCGTTTACGCACCTTGTGGCTGCCTGTGGAAGCGCCACCGAAGCGAATCTGATGTCAATTGTCCCATCACAGCTTCACAGAAACGGAAGTGCAGCGTATGCTATCTGCGCAGCATTGCAGCCACCAACAAAATTACGTCTGAGGAAAGACCACAACATGTGAGTGTTACCATGGCTACCAATGACAACTACCACCGTCAGAGTTTAGGAAACTCCTCTATGCAGGTGAAGATCATTACAGATGACAATAGTAATTTTCACTTAGAACTGTCATTGCTATACTGATTCCTTTAATGTACGTGCTGTGAATTTGCTAGAAATTCAAGACAACATTGTTATCATTTTCATTCTGAAAACCTGTCAGATATCGTAAAGAAAATTACTTGATGTTGAGAATTCTTTGGGAATGAGAGAAGCCAGGTTATTCAATTATACGCGTTTAATTTGTTACATACAAACTAGATGACTGACCGACTGACTGATTGACTGACTGACAGACTGACTGACTCACTGACTGGCTGACTGACTGACTGACTGACTGACCGACTGACTGATTGACTGACTCACTGACTGGCTGACTGACAGACTGACTGACTGATTGACTGACTGACTGGCTGACTGACTGACTCACTGACTCACTGACTGGCTGACTGACAGACTGACTGATTGACTGATCGACAGACTGACTGACTGACTGACTGACCGACCTACCGACCGACAGACCGACAGACCGACCGACTGACTGAGTGACTGACTGACCTGCTAAATGAATGAATGACGGACTGACTGACTAAATGAATGAAAGAATGAATGAATAAATTAATGAATGAATGACTGACTGACTGACTGACTGAGTGACTGTTCGAATGACTGAACGACCGAGAGACCGACCGGCTGACCGACCAACCGACCAACCGACCAACCGAATGAACGAATGATCTTGAACGAACGAACGAATGACGGACAGATAAACTGCAAGCGAGCATGGTAATGGGTTTCCCAGCACTTCGATTTCAAAGGCATGGATTAATAATAGGTTTAGGAAGGTTTAAGTAATAAAAGAGAGCCCGTAGTCTTGTTTACAGAAGTTGCTAAGGAACATCATCTACCATAACTGTGTCATTCTGATGCGACTCGGAGTGCTCGAACTAGATTTTCAGTTGAACTAGAGATCAAATCCTTCTCGAGTGCTTTAAAGAAAAACGGCGCTTTACCCCTTAATTGTACGTTTGTTTATTCCCTCAGTTAAAGTTGTCTACTTGCTCATAATTGTCTTTTTCATTTTTTCCCTTTAGTATATGTCGGCAAATGCCACACAACAATCTGGGAAACTAAAACAAGCCAAGAGCAAAGTATCAAACTTGTTTACAGGAAGTCAAGTAGGCCGTTTGGGCGAGCCTGTAAGATACCGCTATAAGCCACTGAAAAATCCGGAAGAAAGAAAATCGTGGAGTTACGAGCCCGAATGGACGAGCATTGGTGCTTTCTTGAACAAAAGCCCTAAATCTGGCAGTTACGGAAGCATAAAGGATTCAGAAGGGAAGTTTGTGGACCGCTATGGTAGACGATCACGTGACTCGCTTGATGCCGGGGACGAGGTTGTGGAATACGCCCTGAGGCTCCGCCCACGGAGACGTCAGGTCATAGAGCTGCAAGAGTTTCCCCCGGGATATTCGAAGAGTTACATGGACGTCGATTTGGAATCTGACCCCGGGGTTGTGTTTGATCCCAACCGGGATCAGCTTCATAGAAAGAATAGAAAGAAGTCTTGGGTTTCCGAACGGTTGACTTCCGAGTCAGACTTAAGAAAGTTTTCTCTCACTGATAAACTAGGGAATTACGACGAGTCAGAAGATCTGTTTAATACTGCAAAGCCACGAAAGAGCAGCTTAAAGATGGGAACGACGCGAGGAAAAGCAAAGCCTAAGGTGGTGCATTTCTTTCCTTCGACTTTCAACTTCGAGGCACAATTTGTTCAAATTCCACCTAAGAACAAAATGGCGGAGCCTGAAATGGTAGTATTTGAGAGGCATTTCAATATTTCTTATTGCGAATCCAAGAAAAACTCTAAGGTTGTTGATTCTGAAATCACGCAAGAATCAAGGCTTGACAATGCAAAAGCTGGTAGCAGTGAATCGATTGGACTACCCGGAAACAAAAGAAATGACTTCGCCTTTAGTAGTAGCAAAGAACACGCTGTTGATTGCGACATCCCAAGTCCCTCGATGGACGTCACAAGGGACGAAACTTTTATACCGTCACGTGACTGTACTGGTTCATATTTCAATAACGGCTGTAGATCTTCCACGGACGTTTTGCCAGGTTCCAAAGAAATACTCCCCGTAGATATGGGATCCCAAGCTTTTCAAGAAAAAGGGAAGAAGAAAGGCCCCAAGAATTTTGACACGTTGTCAAGTCCTTTTATAGATCTTTGTAAAAATGACCTGAATTACAAACCTGAACCATTGGCTGGATTGCTCTCTCCTGTTAGGAAAGTGGCCCACAAGAGAGGAACCAGCGATAAGGGCACAGTGACGTCTCAGGCCGTGGGGGACTTGGTTTGTGTTAAGTCATACGTACAACCGCTGAGCACCTCTAAATATGCAGCGCCTTATGGAGACAGCATTTATCAGCCTCAACCAGGTGATACAAGGAAATTTAAATCAAGCCAATCACAAAGCAGATTTGAAAATGACGTCTGCGGCATGGACAAAACGTCAATTTATGAGCCGCTGCAGCGTTTTCCAGAGAAAGAAACGAATGAAGAAAGCTGAGGCAAAATGGCAAAACCTGACCTAAAAATCTAGTAATGAGAACGTTCACGAGAAAAATGACTCAACAATCCCTCTACTTTTCAAGTTAGACTACGAGAAGTCCTTCTTTCGCTTAGTTCGTCGAGCGTGGCCTGAAATAACCTGCGAGGTAAAAAATGGCCGTGTGAAATCCTGGGGCGGGCGGAGGGAACGCGCAGGGCCGTTTTTTCGCGGTTTTCTTTCGCGCCGCGCACGACGGACTGAACAAAAGAGGGACTACTAGTAGTCTATTTTCGAGGTTTATCAGCGTAAAAGTTCTCCTGATATTCGAAACATAATTTCTCTCGACTACTGCAGCTATAGGAAATCCATGGAGACTTGTTTGTTGACTTTCACGTGACATAGCGTGGAACCCCAACTTAATGAGACCCTTTATAGGAATGTCCCACAAAATGAAAGATATTCTTCTGCTCGACCAAATTTTAAAAAACTGAGTAGACTGTATGAAACCTAGCATAATGAGATGCCGTTTTAACAAAGACATTTTCCCCGTTCCTTGAAGATTTGTTTTATCGGGGTTTCATCATGCATTGTACTTTGTGCAACTTCGGTTGTTTCACTAACTAGACTACAGAGCTCGCGAATAAATTTCCGTAGGGCGGTAAAAATGGGAGGGTGGGGAATGATAGTGGTGGCGATAGTGAGGTGGGGGGACGGGTGGGGAGAGGCACAGATAACGTTTCACGGAAAATAAAACGACAATTTCACGTTTTATTCCGCCATTGTCAGTTCACGATCTTCAGGACGTAAAAACAAATCGGCCACCTTTCACGGAAACTAAGTACTCGATACTCGTAAAACAGATAATCAATCATTTCTTACAAAAAGGATATAATTCATGGCTCATGAAAATACCCGTACCATTATTACTGCTTTTTTGCATAAAAGACTTGTTTTAAAAGCAGATAATTTTTTAAATATTATTTTGAATACAACTTTTTGTTATTTGCTGAATAAATTTCCGTTATTTACTTAACGTGAATGCGTGCTCTTTGTACCAATGAGTGAAGAGCCATTTAGTGCCCGAGTACAAGGCCGAGACCTTGTACCCAGGCACAGTGCCCGAATTCTGGTGTGAGTGCTTGGAAAAATGTGCCTTTAATGCCCAGTGAGAGCTGTACTCTGGCACCAAGTTAGCCTGCGTAGTAAGCATTCCCCTACGGCGTGAAGAGCTTTCTCGCCTTCTGGCCGCGCGTAAGTTTGAGCGAGAGCAAAAACCTCTGCTTAGTCGAATTTTTGTTCTCGCTCCAGTGTACGCGCGGCCAGAATGCGGAAAAGCTCTTCGAACGGGAACGCTTGCTATGCAGGCTAGCACCAAGTGTGAACATAGCCTCAGTCTCCACCTTTGAACTGGCTTGTTAGTAGAACAGGAGTGACGTCATTGCTGCCGTTCACTTCCTCCCATGATGTTACTCGATATGAAAATGTCGTGACCAAACGAAACAGAAGCTATAGGACCAAAATCATGTCAGGTCGGACGGCCAGGGCAATCGCTTGCACGGTGTGATATTATCCTGAGAAAGCAGGTTTGATACCGCAAGCCTCCAAACTCAAGCCTTGTAAGCATGGATAGGCCTTCTCTATCTGTATCGTAAACTATCCACGCACCCAGGATGCATTTGCAGATTTTCTTTGCAGAATGAAACGGAACGGCCGGTTGTCCTACACGCTTGAACCGTTACGCTTCTGTTAATTGCGTGACTCATTTATACGTCACACAAAACAAAATACATGATTGGCTAGCTTCTGGATGACGTATACGCACGGCAGCACGCGTATGAAAAGCGAACGTTTCTCCAGTCGCCATCAATTTTTTCTGTAGTCAACTTTCAGTCAAGATGTCGGTTACTGAGCAACTAACTACCGAGAAAATGAACTGGTAAGTAGATAAGTTTATACCCAGATTATGTTAATTAATCTTCCAATTATATCCATTTTCTAATTACTTTTATTGTTCTAATTGACTTATCAACGAAACCTACTCACGAAAAAGCGAGTGATTGAGAGAGTTGACAAAGCTAGCCAACGAATTTTTCAGCAGTTGAGAATTTTACCCGTCTTTCATTCAAAATGGTAGGCAGGATACTTTTTATTCTTCGGTAATAAGGTCTCTTGTTGGTAAATAGATCTTATCGAAAATAACACTTAAGCTAAGTGTAATAAAATAGCTTTTTGCAGCGGTTTTTTGTTCGCAGCGACGCAGCTTTGCCACGAATCAGTCATGGCTGACATTTTTCCTTCACGTTCAAAAATTGCAGTTGTCTTAGATTTATTTGCTGTTTGGTTTCTCTTTCAGCGTGAGTGCATATCTCTGCATATTGGTCAAGCTGGCGTTCAAATCGGCAACGCTTGCTGGGAGCTGTATTGCCTTGAACACGGCATTTTGGCAGATGGCCAGATGAACGATACTTCAGCTGAAGTGCTAGATGATTCATTCAACACATTTTTCAACGAGACGGTGTCTGGAAAATTCGTTCCTCGGTCAATTTTCATCGATTTGGAGCCGACTGTCGTGGGTAAGTTTCTGAGACTATGGCATAAACTTTGATGGTTTGAAAATGTTTCAAGTAAGCCTCATTTCCGTCTTATAACTCATGAAAGAAGACTTTTATTGCCAGGCGGGGCTTAAAATAGAGGAGGGTGTGAGGAGGGGCGTTATTTTTGTGCAGGTTCTGGGGAATGTAAGAAAGGAGGCTTCCACAAACTAATAATTTGAAATAAAGACCAGTCGCGGATCTAGGGGAGGGGTCCGGGAAGCCCGCACCCCCCCACCTTATTTTGGGTAAAAAAGGAAAAACCGGCAGGACAAGCAAAAAAAACCGCCCCACCCCCCTTNCCCCCCCCCCCCCCCTTTTAGCTCAAGGTCTGGATCCACCAATGAAGACTGTTTATTTTATTAGAAGAAATTATATTTTTAGAATTATATCAACCTCAGATTTACGGTATGCTACAATAAGTTCGACTATCTGGCAATGTTTTCAGTGTACAATAGAGTTGTCACGTATAGCAGAACTTGAAAAATTAGCCTGAAGTTTTTAGTTCATCGCGCATAATCAGTTCTCAGTCTTTCCCAATATTGAAAGTTTGAGATCATGGAAGACTTTGCGGAAAGGTTATTTATGACGCCTTTGGGTAGACAAGACAACTTCCTGCTGGAATGGCTGGGCCAGTAGTGAAGTTTTCTTGTCTACCCAAGCGCTCTCTGTGTTTGCAGGCCGACCAATGTACCGGTCTTCAAGGATTTCTTATGTCCCACTCGTTCGGCGGTGGAACCGGCTCGGGCTTTTCCTCTCTGCTTATTGAGCGCCTGGCTGTGGATTACGGCAAGAAATCCAAGCTGGAATTCTGCGTTTACCCAGCACCTAGAGTCTCTACCGCAGTTGTGGAACCTTACAACGCAGTCCTGACCACACATTCCACTTTGGAGCACGCGGACTGTTCGTTCATGTTGGACAATGAAGCCATTTATGATCTTTGTCGCATAAACTTGGACGTGGAACGACCCACCTATACGAACCTCAACCGTCTAATTGGTCAGGTAGTGTCCTCGATTACCGCGTCTCTTCGTTTCGATGGCGCGTTGAATGTCGACCTGACGGAATTTCAGACTAACCTTGTACCGTATCCCAGAATTCACTACCCACTTGTATCGTACTCGCCCATCATCTCAGCCGAGAAGGCCTTCCACGAGCAACTGACCGTCCCGGAAATTACAAACAGATGCTTCGAGCCGGCCAATCAAATGGTAAAATGCGACCCTCGCCATGGTCAATACATGGCGTGTTGTATGCTTTATAGAGGCGATGTAGTCCCTAAGGATGTCAACTCGGCGATTTGTGCCATCAAAACCAAACGCACTGTCCAGTTTGTCGAATGGTGCCCCACGGGTTTCAAGGTTGGCATCAACTACCAGCCCCCCACGGTTGTCCCCGGCGGGGATCAAGCCAAGCTACTTCGTGCGTTATGCATGCTTAGTAACAGCACTGCCATCGCCGAGGCCTGGGCTCGATTGGATTACAAGTTCGACGTGATGTTTGCGAAGCGAGCGTTCGTTCATTGGTATGTCGGCGAGGGGATGGAGGAGGGAGAGTTTATTGAAGCGCGGGAGGACCTTGCTGCTCTGGAGAAGGATTACGAGGAGGTGGAGGCAGCTCAGCCTGATAGTGATGACGAGTACTGAAAATTGAACTGGGAAAGGCATAAAGGGCCGCAGTATCAATGCTCTCTTCCTTCATCAACCTCATAAGAGCTTGAAGGCAGCAGGGAAAAAAAAAAACATGAAACTCCAACCAAACTTATAATCAGTGTATCTACATCGTCAATTACCACAATGACTTGTAACAAGGCATTACTGTCTTTCAAACAAAAAAAAGTGCACGGTGATTAACTGACCTAACACCAAGCAAAGCTTTCTCGACGATAAATTGGGTCGGAAAACGCTAATATAATGGGTCAAAATTCCTTATCCTAGATTACTTTTTCCGAGCTTTCAGATAAAAAAAATCCCCACAATATCGCTAACATACTGATACACAGAACGTATCGTGATCACAAGTTTTCATGCGACTGTCGGTGGTGTTCTTGCTTATCATACGGTACCATAGTAAAAAGGAACTCTAGGGAAAACGTCTACGGGAAAACAAATGACATTTCATACCGTCTCACTGAAAAATCGTCAAACAAACCAAACTCTAATACTGAAAGTAAGTGTTTCAGGCCGATAAATGTCTCAAGCAAATAAATCTTATTTGATACCTAATTGTGGCATGATTGCAAGACTTTTCAAGCTTGTGGTGTATTTGGGTGGGTCGGGGAGGGAGGGAGGGTGGGAGGGAGGGAGGTTTGCACTATGCGGAAAACGGAAAGGTACCTGTTTTTCACAAATACTAACTCACGATTGTATGAACAAAAGTTAGCGAACAAGGAAGTTAACTATTCAAGAACGGACTATGAGCAGCCACTGGTGTTTCTTACTCTGTTGAGCGTGGCGCGACAGCGCGCGAGGGCAAGGGCACGAAATCGCGGGAAAAAAATTAAAGCGCGTTCTCGAGCTCTGGCTGCTTGTAATCTATTTCAAACATGCCGAGACGTTTCAAGCTAGGCGAAAACACCCTGCCCTCAGAGTAAATTGTTACGCACAATGTTGCAGTAGTTCACGGTGCGACATAGAATGTAAGAGCACTTCTGTCTCTACCACACAGCGCGCAAAGATATTCCTGATACATGTTACGGCCGATCCCAACAAAATGCGGTCTTAGATTGGCAACTGCATCTTCCAGTAACCCGACTAACATCCTGAACAAACTAAAAATACAATTACGAACTGAACAAATAATTTATTTCTAAATTCCCTTACAATTGTACAAAAGTTTGGTGTCATAATTCCTCTCGTTCGCTGGAGTCACTTTTGCTATTATCCTGGTCTTTCTCTTCCTTATCATTTTCATCATCTTCTTCGTCGTCATCGACATCCTCCTCCTCCTCTTTCACAACTTCTACAGTCACAACAAAAACAGAATAAAATAAAACAAAATAAACAAACTCAGAAAGTTTAAAACCCAGCAAGAAGAAGCGTCTTTCTTGGACATCGACTCACCCATAGTTTCAGAGGATTGCAACGTGAGAAAGAGTGGTAACAACAGCAAAAGTGACACCACAGACAAGAGAAATTGCGAAGTCACGCTCGTGATGACCGTGAGGTCTGGTTCGCATTGCGTGACACATGCTGTGAGCTCATGTGCATCCCGCAAGAGAGAGAACATAAAAAATCGAGAGACGAAATCTAGTAGTTTAGTTGTTTCGCAGTTTCAAGCAATTTTTTCCCACCCTATATTTTACAAATAATTATTAGAAGATTTTTAATTTTCTCATAAATCTAGGTTTATCTGTGTTTATATATCAAGTTAAGTCAGGATCCAGCTAACCTCCTATGACTCAATTTCCTTCTAAATTTCTTTGTATTATTTTAAACAATCTTAACCATAAATTGAGAAACTTTTTCAAAAACAATTGTCCTCCCTACACATGTGAAGACATGGTAGTTACCATAAGCCAACTATATTAGTCCAACAAAAGTACTCTAAAAATAATGAAAAATTACAGTGACCCACGTTGTACACTATTGTCACCCTATGGAACAGTCTTTCAAATTTACTAATTACAAGCCTGGCTTCGCAGGGAACAAATGTAAACAAAAAAAATAACCTCTACAGTTACACCCACTTATAATTTGTGTAATCAAAGGTGCTCAACTCATCGAGAGAGCTTTAAAAAAGTTTGATGTTTTTTCATCTGTGTTGTTGTTATGTTGTATTGCAAGCCATATTATACACAGTTCTACATGTATTGTTTGTTAGCAATACTTTCATTCAGTTTTCATGTTCATTATTTCATTCAAGTAGGAAATTCTCCTTTCTCTTTACAATGTTGAACTGCAACAATGTAATGAACTGAACCTAATCTGTGTCACCTTTCTGTATCCACGCCCTTTAATACAAATCCCTTGTTATTATACAACTTTGACGGGAAAGTTGAGAGAGCTTCAGAACGAGACAGCTTGAAACTATAGGTTACAGTATTAACTGTTAGTAAAAGATTAGGGTTAATGAGTTTGCGAGAAAATGACGATTTACCTCTATGGCGAGGTTCAGCTGTAAAGAAAAAGCCGCCATTTTAATTGCACGCGCGCTAATCACGCATGAAATTATGTGCAGTAGGGATGCGCAATGCAATACTGGGGAATAACCTTAAACCCTAATATCAGTAGCAGGAGAATTTTTGTTCTTGTCTTACCTTTACATTCATTGTCTGCCATTTTGTACCCTGTGTTGCATTTCGTGCATCCTTGGGAACCCTCTCCAATACAAGTCTCACAGGCTGAGTGACAGACTAAAATAACAACACAGCTCAGGTTTAGAGCCCACTAAAATACAACTTTTGTTAACAGGCAAATAAACCACTTGAGCAAATTATAATCGAGACCAAATCCCCCCCCCTCCCCCCGAAAAAGAAAATCAGGTATTTACCTCGACAAACGTGTGATCCAGGCGTATTGTCACAAAACTTGCCGTTTTCACAGAGGGTCGCATTCTCAGCACATTCGTCTACATCTGAAACAAATTTACCAGTTGCTTTTATTTCAAGATATTAAAGTTTTCAGAGAAACACATCACATGATTGATTTCTTTGTGACATTTACTCCCTGTTGGCTCATCAAATTTCTCATCTAATCAAAGCAAAGGGCAAAGTGTCATTGTGTAATTTGTTGGGTCTTCTCCACCTTCCAGACTGTGACCTTGTTTCTAATAGGTAACTTCTCAGTAAAACAGCACAGAGCATTTCACTTAGAACTTTGAAAGCACGATCAGTTTTGGCGGAAACAGCAAATGCCCTGGTAGTTTTGGTGTGAACAACACACACCCAGGCAGTTTTGGTGGGAACAGCAAATGACCTGGTAGTTATGACGGGGACCAGACATGTCCTGGCAGTTTTGCCAGGAGCAGCACAAGCCCTGGCAGTTTTGGCAGGAAGTGCACTCTTGCCATACTATATTTTAGGAAATGGAATGGCTGGTATATACTCCTAGGTAGCTCTACACTGCTTCAGTATAAAGGAGAACATTAAGCTTGAAAGTACCTTTACATCCTTCTTCATCACTCTTGTCATAACCTTTGGCACATTCAATACATCCCTTGGGTCCATTACCAGTGCAGTTGCCTGCACATGAATCGTCGCAGTCTGGGTTGGAATGATTTTAAAAAAAAATAAGCTGTTTCAGTTCAATATCCCAACTCTACTGTTTAAGTAACAATTTTGGACTAAAGTACTCTGAATAACATGCATCGTTGTGTCTAGTTTCACTTCTTGTTGCCAGCAACTGTTTTGCTGTCTGTTTTTCACACCAATTTGACATTTGGGTTAGGCAACAACAGATTTGCTAACTTAGGCTTGAAGATACAGTACACCCGTAAGTCAACATTCGTGCATTCATGTTATCAGATTATTCTACTTGTACCGTGAACATACACAACTTTACACATTATTAATTTGTACATCATTTCCTTGTTTCTTGTTACAGCCACTTGAACTGGGGCATAAAATTCATTATCAGGTGATAGGAGATTTACCTTCGCAAACATAAGACCCTGGGTTATTTACACAATATTGTCCAGCTTCACATGTGTCTTCTTCATCACATTCATTCTTGTCTGAAAAAGGAGACAGTTTTCAACTGAGTATGGTAGTCTATGAACAAACCAAGTGGCCCATCAGACAAACAACAAATCTGAAACCAGCCATGATCTGTGTACATGACTTTTCCATCATTTAGTAACTAATTTAACTCAATAAACCATTTTAAAACTGATTTAGTTTCAACATATACCTTTACAGCCATCCTCATCTGTCATTTCCCAGCCTGCTTTGCACTTTTCGCAATCTTTCTGAGAGCCGCCACTGCAGCCATCAGCACAAGACTTGTGACAAGCTGTTTAGAAACAACAGTTTGCAATCAGTGTATACCAGCATGTAATTACCATATCTGGTTAATGTTCTTCAACAGTACATGTACCAACCGCTGTTAACTGCTAATTAGATGACAAAGCGTTTCTTTGTCTTAGATGGAGTCATACATTATCAAAGAAAGAAAACTTTCAATTGGTTTTCAGTTGGATTTCTTCCCTGTTTTGACCAAAGTCCCCCACACAAGAATCCTGCACTTATTGCTATTGTCCTGCAGTAGACACATGTACCCATCACCTACCAATTTTTTTTTCAGTTACAAACCCCTTCCATATTTTCAAACAACCACTCAAATAACACCAAAATAACTTGCAAACTTGAAAGACCATGTAAAAGACTAACCTGTACATTTGGTTTTAGAATTTTCATCTTGCTCTTCAAAGTACAACTCAGCACACTCGTCGCACAAGTCTCCTTCATATCCACTGTCACACGAACATTTTCCTGTCCCCTCCCTAGTGCCATCACCCTACAAAAACATTAATAATCAACATGCTGGTACATCAGTAGTAGTGAAAACCAAAATGGCCTTATGCTTAGGGCCTTGGACTTCAAATCAAGCAATCTGGTCTCAAGCCCTGGGTGGGGTACATTTTGTCAGTCATGCTTAATCCTCATTAGAAT